GAATGGGGTTATGTTTGTGCCAGTCTAACCCACGAGCTGGGCTCTGCTCACGTCGTTACCCCAGCGCAGCAGTGCCCGTGGCTGACTGTGCTGGCTCGCAGAGCACAGTCCCCTCCGCGGCTCCGTTCCCCCGAGCAGCCTGAACTTTTGCAGGAGGTTATCCAAGTTACAACCTTCCCCTCAGGTCTGCCAGCCCCTTTTTTTTTTTTTGTGGAGCTCAGCAGAGCTGCTGGGAGCAGTAACTGCACACCTGGATGTAGGAGGGATGTGCGTGTATGTGTGTATCCTCCCAGGTTTGTGCTGGCTCAGCTACATCAGGGGATTAGTGTGGGAAAGAAGTGGGATTTCTGGTTGACAGGGCAGCCCTTAGTGGAATTGCAGTAATAATGGCAAAACTGAAGTGTCGATGGTTTCGGTGTGGGAGGGGGTTTTGCTGTGCTGGCTGGGTGCCCCCAGGTACGTGTCTCCACGTAAAGGCTATCTATTTTGCAGTTCCTTTCTAAAAAGTGTTTTTCCTGCTCTCCTGAGAAGTGCTGCTGGGACACACTGTCAGATACAGGCTGGTTCCAACTGCTGCCTGTATCCCTGCACCAGGAGACCACAGATTGATCCGCATCCAGCTGGCCCCGCCGCCGGCAGAGCCGAGCTCTTGCTGCTCAGTAGTTCCACAACTCCCCAGCACAACCAGCCTCTCCAGCAAAAAGTGCTGCATCTATATTGGGTTAAGATAAAGGCTCGGAAGGACATCGTTAGGGTAGATGGAGAGCTCGGTGCTATTAGGGAGTAATTACTACTTTCACAGGAACTGCTTAACACGTGGCTTAGTCCTTTAGCTCGCAGCACACAAGCATGCCAGGGTCGCCCATGCGGGCACGTTGTGCCTGCTGTAATAAATGATGCACTAGAATAGTTACAAGTCACCAATTTACACTCCTGGCACAGTTGCTAATCAATAAAATGGAATCGTTTATCCTGGTGTCTTTATGACGTGTATTCACTCCCAGCCAACTCCGATATCTTGTTTCTCCAAAGTGCAACCTATTTGTTTTCCTCTCATTAAGTGCCTCTGTAGGATATAAAGTTAATAGAGTGAAATAAATATCCAGCAACATGAAGTGTTGACCCAGGGTTCCCAGCTACGGTGGTTTCAGGGCATCTGCTCGTGACGCAGTTCGGACAGCAGCATCGCTCTACGATTTCTTTCGAAAATCTTTCAAACAAAAAAACCCCAAACAAACGCAGACAGGCAGAAGTGATTTCCAGAGACAGGTGGGCACCGTCTGCGTTTCGTTCTCTCCCTGCAACATCCCCTGATCGATGCCTAAAACGCTGAACCTCCGCGTGTCGGGTCAGGTCTGGGAAGCACAGAGGTGACAGCGAAGTGCTGCCCTCGAGAAGGTGCCCGTGCCCACCTCTGCTTTCTTCCCAGAGGGTCTGATTAACGAGGCAAACCTTGCTCTTCTTCAGCTTCAGCCCATCGCAGAGCTCCCCTTGCAGCGTTATCTGTGGTCCACTGTCTTCTCCGGTAACTCCAGTCATTTCACGAGCTTCAGCCGAGTCCTGGCTTGGGACAGAGGACACTTCGGTGTAGGTTTCACCCACCTGCAGTATTTGTCTCCCTCCAAATTAAACAGGAGAGCTGGGGCTGCCCCACTTTGTCTCACCCCGCTTGGTGAGCGAGCTCTTCTCTGCAGCAGACCTGACTCGAGGAGTTGGTGTTTCAGGAATTCGGGAATGCGTTGGGAAGATCACAGCTGCGT